ACTGAGTGACAAGCTGCAGGCTATGAGGGTAAACTCGTCCACCATCTCCTGGATTACCAACTACCTCACGGACAGACCACAGTACGTCCGGCTGGGCAGTGTGCTGTCTGATGTGGTGGTTGGTAGTATTGGAGCCCCACAGGGGACTGTGCTGTCTCCTTTCCTGTTCACCTTATACACCTCTGACTTTCTATACAACTCAGAGTCATGCCACCTGCAGAAGTTTTCGGATGACTCTGCAGTGGTAGGGTGTATAAGGGATGGACGGGAGGAGGAGTACAGAGCGCTGGTGGGTGATTTTGTTGAGTGGACTGGAAGAAATCATCTGCTTTTGAATGTGGCCAAGACCAGAGAGATGGTCATTGATTTCAGGAGGAAGAGGACATCTCCTCCTCTGCCCCTGTGCATTCTGGGAGAGGATGTGGCAGTTGTGGAGGTCTACAAGTACCTGGGAGTGCACTTAGACAATGGGCTGAACTGGAGGATCAACACTGACGCTGTGTACAAGAAGGGGATGAGCAGACTCTATTTTCTGAGGAAGCTGAGATCCTTCAACGTATGCAGTAAGATGCTGGAGATCTTCTATCAGTCTGTTGTGGCTAGTGCACTCTTCTTTGCTGCGGTCTGCTGGGGGGGCAGCATCAGAGCCGGTGACACCAGCAGGATCAATAAACTGATCAGGAAAGCTGGGTCAGTCATCGGCATCAAGCTGGAACCCTTTGAAGCTGTGGTGGAGAGGAGGACACTGAACAGGCTGTTGTCCATCATGGATAACCCCACCCATCCTCTCCACCTGCAGCTGGACAGTCAGCGGAGCTCCTTCTCCTACAGACTGCTGCAGCTCCCCTGTCACAAGGACAGATACTGGAAAACATTCCTGCCCACTGCAATAACTCTGTACAACAAATCACCTCTGGCTGGAAGAGAACTCTCTGCTCCATAGTTTCTCTAGAAATAAAACCACCTTGTACATTTTACTCACACATAATCTGTTTCATATTTAATACTCCATAATTCCATATATTTTGAATATATATATATTTGTATATTTGTATATATATATATATATATATATATATATAATATCTGTATGTATATTTTGTATTTTGACATGTATATTTTATATTTTATTTTATATTTTATTTTATTTTATTTCTATTCTTGTATATTTTGTTTTATTGTAAAATGCCTTTTATGCTGCTGTAACAAAAACAATTTCCCAATTTGGGATCAATAAAGTACGATCTATCTATCTATCTATTTTCAGTGTCTGTCTCATGAAGCAGCTGATCCAGTAATGAGTGACCCGGCCGACAGTAAAAATAAACATTTATAACTAGGTTTTGGTAGTTTGAGAGGTAATTAAAATAGCTAAGGGTTATGATCTGACTTGAAGTGCGTGTTTTCCTCCTCCCACTGCATCACAGCATATACTGTGTATATCACCATTCTTTAATTAAATGTTTTGATAAGTGCATGCAGATCACAGTACAAGATGTGAAGTCAACAGGTAGTCACTCAGAGGGGGGTACTATTTCTTTTCAAATGCATATAGGCAATGCCTATCATTTACATGTAGGCAACACTGCTCTTTCAGTCAAGAATTTGAATTTGAATGGGATGGGGAGACGTGTGTGATTAAAAATTAGTGGCCAAACTAAGACTTCGTTTTTCAAAAGAGAAAATGCAGATATTACACTCATAAAAGAAATGGTATATATATCAGTACTCTTAGTGCCAAGTTGTCTCAGACAATCTGCATTTCCTAATGTGGGACAGTTCTGTGCAAAATGTGGGACACTGAAAAGTCTATGTTAAAAAGCCTCAGTCACCTTAATTCATGTAATGAAAACATCTCAGGTCAGTAACACTGAAAGCTAAATGTGCAATACCATGTTCAGCTATGTTACTATTTATAATGTTATTGTTGTTACAACAGAAGATGTTTTTCTTTATATTGAAGTTAAATGCATCAATCTGGTGCACTTTGAGGTCAAAATTAAGAGATTTATGGATACAGCTCTCAACACTCATATGAAACAGAACTGTTATAATAATGATGAGAAACTATGAAATAAGAAATGAATCAAATTAAAATGTAATTATCATATCATATATTATATAGTGTATTGTATTATTAACCCCATAATAGCAGATGCCACATTGAATGGATGAACACATTTATGCATCAATAATTACAACAGAGTATTTCTAAATACAAGCTGTAAAAATACTTATATGTATTTAATACTAATAACATACTGATTCATTTTACTTTCAGATGATAATACTTTTCAGGGTTAGGGTTAGGTCCGGTCTGACAGCGCTTAGCTCTCTGCTGCAGAGAGAAAGAGAAGATCACTGCTCTAAGCAAAGTCAAAAATCAACATACAGTAGGGGGGTGGGGGATGGTGAACGGTATGGTCAATGTTTGTAAACACAATCCCCAGGATGTGGGACACTGAAAAGTCTATGTGAAAAAGCCTCAGTCACCTTAATTGATTTGATTTGATGCTCATACTTTTACCTTTACAATCGTTTGCTTTAATATTATTTCTAAATACAAGTTGTAAAAATACTTATATGTATTTAATACTAATAACATAATGATTAATTTTACTTTCAGATGATAATACTTTTCAGGGTTAGGGTTAGGTCCGGTCTGACAGCGCTTAGCTCTCTGCTGCAGAGAGGAAGAGAAGATCACTGCTCTAAACAAAGTCAAAAATCGTACATCCAAACGGAATAAATATAATTAATTATTATGAATACGTCAAGTCTTGTTCATTGTTTTTCACTTTTATGAAATGTTTGATATTTCCGGCACAGACCCTTTCATACCGGCAATGCGCGATAGAAACAACAGGAACTGCGACAGCATAAATATGCGAACACAAACCTACAGACTGCTGGAGAAGAGATATCACAGAGGGGGGTTAGGACACACACATTCCGATGGCCAATTAGTTTTAAACAAAGAGTATACTCAACATAGGGGGGTGGGGGCTGGTGAACGGTATGGTCAATGTTTGTAAACACTGTGACATTTTGACTTTATTTGATCATTTCAGTTAAAAACTAACATTCATATTTCTCTTTTTGAGAAGAGAAATATGAATATGTTAGTGGCTGACCCAGCCCCATGGTCTGTCACAGTAGTGCGGGAAAGAGAAGTGCACTGTTTTGCCTGGCTGGACCTGTAATTTACAGGAAAGGAGTGCACGCTACCAAAGAGACATGCTACCATGGAAACCAAACAATGGTGTAGCTGTATTGAAGTCCGAGTGGAAACAGTCATATTTGGAGCGTTATGTTAGAATGAAACAGCCAGGTCGTGACTCACAAAAAAAAAGTGTTACTTCACTAACTGTAAGCTTGTCACTCAGAGTAACCTACAGTTAACTTAACTGTTGGAGAAGAAAGATCAGGCGGGGGAGAGAGCTGTGGCTGATGGGCCATTAGGTGTGTAAACACACAGCATTCAGACTGTTTAAAAAACGTAACAACGGACTATTTTTCTTAGCGGATGCATGTCAATTTAAATTAATACATACAACTATTTTTTAAATCAATAAAAACATTTTCTAAATCCATAAAAGCATTTCAATTAATATTGGGAGTCATATCGTTACTTTGTTGAGAATGTGGCCATGTAATAAACGGGATAATTTGCAGCGACTTGGTCATTGTCGGGATCCTGATCTGCCTGACAAGGCTCCATTAAAATATAAATATTTTTAGTGAATTACTGAGTTTAGGCACATTAATAACGTTTTAATGAAGTTGAATACAGTATATTCATATTTGTCAGTGATTTCATGTAAATTCGGCGAACATAAACATAAATGATCGTGGTGAAGATGATGATTAAATTAGGATTAAAAATCGAGAGCCGGCTGATAGTGATGTTTTGTAAATGATTACATGTCTTATTTAGCACAGACTATGATCCTATCCGTGACATATGGATCTTAACAAAGATCCGCTATACAGTAGTACCAGACATACTGTCCATCCAGTTTACTGTATCGAAGTTGATTTCACATGAGCTCCAGTGTGGAACCCCACTGCACCCCCTGGTGGATCAATGATCCATTGCAGCTGGCTTCACAATAATTAAATGTATTTATCACGGGGGCGGTCTCAAGTGAAATTGGAGGTTGTCTCTTGATCGCGGGCAGATCACGGGCAGACCCCGTGCCGACCACGGCCCTCGCGTTTCAAACTGTCCTAAATGAGCTGCTACATCTGTACAGAGGTTTTAAGATTACCCTACTTCAGTATCCCCTAGTAAAAGCACTCAGTATTTGTACAATTGGTTTGAAAAAAGAAGTTACCCAGAATTCTGCCTGAAAAACAGGTTTTTTTTAGCTGGTCTGAGATTTCAAAACACCATTTTAGCTAGAATAACTACAGAACAATTATACAGAGTAGAATAAATGGAACAGAGAGGTCTAGAAACAAAAATATAACTTACAGAGATTACTGAGTCAGCAAGAGAGTCCTTATCTGGTCATGATAGCACACTGAATTGTTTAGATTTTCAGTGCTTTATTAAGTACACTTTTGCTGGGGGCGTGACCTCACAACTGAAGCTGTCTCACTTCACGCAATCAGCTGTGCCTTCGAGTCTATTGTAATGCACTATTTGAGACAAGTGTCCGACTAAGCCCTAGTTACAGAGGTTTTAAGATTATCCTACTTCAGTATCCCCTAGTAAAAGCACTCAGTATTTGTACAAAGTTTTTTTTAGCTGGTCTGAGATCTCAAAACACAATTTTAGCTAGAATAACTACAGAACAATTATACAGTAGAATAAATGGAACAAAAATATAACTTACAGTGATTACTGAGTCAGCAGGAGAGTCCTTATCTGGTCATGATAGCACAGTATACTGTTGTAGAGCATAGACAGTAAGCTGTTTATAAAACATTTAAACTCAAGTCTGTTGTTATAATTAGATTATCAGAGCATTTTCTCTCTTGTTCTTCTCTTTCAGCAGATAGTGGTCTGCAGGAGGTTTTAGATGAACATAGGATCAGTCTGAGGAGGAGATGTGAACATGTGACTGAAGGAACTGATGAAAGTGAAACCCTCCTCAACAGGATCTACACTGAGCTCTACATCACACAAGGTCAGAGTGAAGAGGTTAATACCCAACATGAGGTGAGGCAGCTGGAGACAGCTTCCAAGAAAGAGACCCTCCATGACACTCCAATCAAGTGCCAGGACATCTTTAAAGCCTTACCTGACCAACAGACTCACATCAGAGTGGTCCTGACCAACGGAGTCGCTGGAGTTGGAAAAACCTTCTCAGTGCAGAAGTTCACTCTGGACTGGGCCGAGGGTTTGGAGAACCAAGATGTCAGTCTGGTGATCCCGCTCTCCTTCAGGGAGCTGAACCTGATCAAAGGTGAGCAGTACAGTCTTCTCAGGCTGCTCCATGTTTTCCATCCAACCTTACAGAAGGTCACAGCAGAGCAGCTGGCTGTCTGCAAAGTGCTGCTCATCTTTGACGGCCTGGATGAAAGCAGACTTTCTCTGGACTTCAGAAACAATGAGGTTGTGTCTGATGTCTCACAGCAGTCCTTAGTCAACGTGCTGCTGACAAACCTCATCAGGGGGAAGCTGCTTCCCTCGGCTCTCGTCTGGATAACTTCCAGACCTGCAGCGGCCAATCAGATCCCTCCTGAGTGTGTGGACAGGGTAACAGAAGTACGAGGCTTCACTGACGCCCAGAAGGAGGAGTACTTCAGGAGGAGATCGAGTGATGAAGACCTGTCCAGCAGAATCATCTCTCACATCAAGAGCTCCAGGAGCCTCCACATCATGTGTCTGATCCCAGTCTTCTGCTGGATCACTGCTGCAGTTCTGGACCACATGTTGACTACAGACGAGAGAGGAGAGCTGCCCAAGACCCTCACTGACATGTACTCACACTTCCTGCTGGTCCAGACCAAGAGGAAGAAGCAGAAGTATGAAGCGGGACATGAGACAAGTCCACAGCAGCTGACAAAGGCTGACAGGAAGGTTCTCCTGAAGCTGGGGAGGCTGGCGTTTGAACATCTTGAGAAAGGAGACATCATGTTTTACCAAGAAGACCTGGAGCGCTGTGGTCTTGATGTCACTGAGGCCTCGGTGCACTCAGGACTTTGTACAGAGATCTTCAAAAGAGAGAGTGTGATCTTCCAGAAAACAGTCTACTGCTTTGTTCATCTGAGCATTCAGGAGTTTCTGGCTGCAGTGTACATGTTGCACTGTTACACCAACAGAGACACAGAGGTACTGAAGGACTTCCTGCAGGGAGACTATAGCAACAGTTATAACAGTGATAAGGATTACCCATCCCTGGATGTCTTCCTAAAGGGAGCCATGAATAAATCCCTCCAAAGTGAAAATGGCCACCTGGACCTGTTTGCCCGCTTTCTCCACGGCCTCTCTCTGGAGTCCAACCAGAGACTCTTAGGAGGCCTGCTGGGTCGCACAGACAAACGTCCACAAATAATCAAGAGACTCTTCAGAGGCCAGCTGAGTCACACAGACAATAGACCAGAAATCATCCAGAGAGCCATCAACAACCTGAAGGAGATGAGCAGTGATAAAATCTCTCCTGACAGGAGCATCAACATCTTCCACTGTCTGACAGAGATGAAGGACCACTCAGTACATCAGGAGATCACAGAGTTCCTGAAGTCAGAGAACAGATCAGAGGAGGAACTCTCTGTGATCCACTGCTCTGCTCTGGCCTTCATGCTGCAGATGTCAGAGGAGGTTCTGGATGAGTTGGACCTGACCCAGTACAACACATCATGGGAGGGACGACGGAGACTGCTTCCAGCTGTGAGGAACTGCAGGAAGGCCAAGTAAGTCCAGATGTGACTTTATTAACTAATGTAGATCAGGAGTTTAATTATTCAAATAAACACTATAACATTTATGTTGCTTTTAAATAATGTAAGAGCAAAATAAACCAAGACTGTTCTTCTATTTATTTATAATAATAGTTCAATTGAACCGTTTCTCTCTTCATATTGAGTGATGGAGACGACATGTCAAACATATGAAGGACTTTAGAGGTTTCTCAGCATGTGATCACACCACACAGCAGGATTTACAGTTATCAGGGAAAGCTGTTATTATTACTTTCTAGTGGTTTCTTTATCATTAAATGTTTGTTAATTGTGTTTGTGTGCACAATACATTTTCAGATGCTCAGAGAAGCCAAAACATCCTTCATCCGTCATCCAAATATGTACATCTCTAATATTGTCAAGTGATTTTTTTATTTCAGTTTCTTTGGTAACAGTCACTGACAGCAGGAACACAGACATGTGATCAGATCACACTGACAACACATCCAACTCTATTATTATATATTATTATATATAACATTAAATGGACTAACAGCAAATGTCAATCAGAACATGTCAAATATTTTTCCATTAAATGCTTGAGTTCATTATAATGTTTCCTTTTTTTTTATAACATATGTTGTTATATATGTGTTATTATAGACTTGCTAACTGTGGACTCTCAGAGACTCACTGTGAAGTCGTGGCCTCAGCTCTGAAGTCTGACCCCTCCCATCTGAGAGATCTGGACCTGAGTCTCAACAGAGAGATGAAGGATTCAGGAGTGGAGCTGCTGAGTTCTGGACTAAAGAGTCCAAACTGCAGACTGGAGACTCTCAGGTCAGTTCACTGGAGATCTCACATGTTTCATTAGTTATTCAACCTTATTATTGTACATAAATAAATTACATCCATAGGTTTTTTAATATTTTATTCGTATTTTTATTTCTCTAAATGTAGTCTGCAGTCATAACAGTTGATCTTTTCCAAAAGTAACTATTATTCTTCCGCTGTTAGTTGTTAAATTAAATGTTTGTTTTGAATCTTTAGTAAATGGTCTGAATAAAGGAGGTCCTCTGAACTAATATTAGTTTTACATAAAGTTTACTTTCTGACATGGAAATGTTTATGTTCCCATCATTTAGATGTGTTTTCACAGATAATAACCAGAAGGCTGATATAATGATGATCCACAATAACAGAATGATAGTCACTGTAATTCAGGGAAAAGATCATTGATTAGGACGCAGTAATGATGAGCTACACATTTCAGACCTGAACATCTGACTGGATTATAAACTGATTGTTATCCTCATCATGTTTTCTTTATTCAGAATGGAGAGCTGCAGTTTGTCAGAGATCAGCTGTTCTGCTCTGGCCTCAGCTCTGAAGTCCAACCCCTCCAATCTGAGAGATCTGGACCTGAGTAACAACGACCTGAAGGATTCAGGAGTTGAGCTGCTGAGAAATCTTCTGGAGAGTCCAGACTGCAGACTGAAGACTCTCAGGTCAGTTCACTGACTCTTTGTTACTGCTGGAGATCTCATGTTTCATTAGTTATTCAACCTGATTCTTGTACATAAATATATTACATCCATACCTTTGTAAATGTTGTTTTGTTCATATTTGTATTTCTCTAAATGTAGTCTGTCATAAAAGTTGGTTGTTTCCTGAAGAAACTATTATTCTTCCACTGTTAGTTGTTAAAGTCAATCTTTAGTAAATGGTCTGAATAAAGAAGGTCCTCTGAACTAACATTAGTTTTACATAAAGTTTACTTTCTGACAGAGATGTTAATGTTCCCAATAATTTAGATGTGTTTTCACAGATAATAAACAGTGTTGGGGTCGGGTGGCCTGATAATTTATTCCGGCAAATTACTCAGACCTCCTAATTGACCTAACAGAAGTTATTGAGTCTATGTAAGTTTAGTGCTTGGCTCAGATCCACCAACGTCAGCAAGATCCCACCTCTATTAACTCCTGTAGAACCAGGTTCAATTAACTGCTGTACAGGACTGGACTTGTCCAGACATATTCTATGGCTATGGCATAAGACACACCTTCCCATGTTTGTGTAAAAAGGTCATGACCTCTAGTGTGCAGGACTGAAAAACATTATTCTCGGCTATGGCAAAAACACCTTTTGGGGGCCTCAGTATATTTCTCACTAAGTCAGGAGCCCCTCTCCTTGTGCACTGCTGTGGGAAAAGGGAAGAAACTGTCTCCTCTCTCTAATCAGTGACACCCATAAACCATTATAGGATTCTAAACTCAACTTAACAAACCACTTGTGTTTTGTTTATACTGTAAATATAGAAAATCATAAAATATGAAGCATTTTCATTGTGGGTTATCCTGTTAAGCCCCACGGACCCTTCGGCGGGTCCGAAACCACAACATCTGCAAGCAACAGTGTCTGAGGGCTTCTTACTATTTAATAAACTAAGAATGTTTCATATCCATGTAACGGGAAGAAACTCAGCTAACTGATGATTTTTTTTATTTTTAGCAAAAAAAAAAACAAGACTAACGCTGAGCCTGTGAATTAGCCCTGAGCAAAAAAATGCTAACGCCGTTAGCACAGAACTCACGGTATAACACCCTTATTACTTATCGTAACTGCACATCCAACCCATTGATTAGCATCGTGAGATTACACAGATTCGATAGGTATCTGTATCATCACTCCATGATCAGAACTCGCAACATGAGAAACAAAAACAGACATCACACCACGTAGCATTAGGTAGCAAACACGGCAATATGTCTTACCTTTGTTGTTGTCTGATCAAAAGTTGTCTTCAATGGCATTAAAACGATAAAAAAAACGCTGCTGAAGGTTAATCCATAGGTTAATCCAATGTGTCTGTGTCACTTTGAAATGATTTCTGATAATCCATCAGCAATAAACCTAGTTTTAAGTTTTCAGATTTCAGAGCGTAAATTAGGTTTCGCTTTGGGCAAACTGCATGCGCATAGCTTTCATTTCTCAATGGTAACGTGTGTGTGTATGTGGAGATTCCCCTTCGATTCTATTGGCTCTAACGGTTCAAAAGAGATGTCAATCATCAAAATCGACCAATGGGTTCCAGAGAAACGGCAAATACGCCCATTTCCACCCAAATGACCCCAGAGGTGGAGTTTATTTGGCTAAACCTCTCTAAAAAGTAAAATCTGAATTTTCTTTAAAATAAAAAACATCTATATTGATTCTGACTTTTCTACATCCAACTCACAGGTTTATCATTACTTTGAGAATTTTTTTAATTAATTTACACCTTTTAGAAGTGAAGTTATTGTTGTGGAAAGGTCATTTTCGAGCCTGAGACCTGAAAAACAGGCTTGGGGCTTAACATACAAGAATATATTTGATTATATTTAATTATAATGAACTTTCGTTTTAATTATTCAATCTAATATGGAGACCTCAACAACAGAAGGCTGATATAATGATGATCCACAATAACAGAATGACAGTCACTGTAATTCAGGAAAAGATCATTGATTAGGACGTAGTAATGATGAGCTGCACATTTCAGACCTGAACATCTGATTATAAACTGATCTGTATCCTCATTAGGGTTGCAAAGGGGCGGAACATTTCCGGTAAATTACCGGAAAGTTTCCATGGGAAGTTAAGCTGGGGAATTTTGGAAATATTCGATGCAAAATTAAACAAAAAACATGACATTTCAACAGATTCTTCAACACATTTAATTATTTTATTGAACAATTATTTGTTTCATTGAAGACCGAAAACAGGAATGTTGAGTTAAATATTACTCATCCCCCCCCAACCCCACTCATTAAAAAATGAACAAAAATGCACCCCCGATCCAAAAATCCCCACAAAGTCCCATTCAAAATGTTAAATGAAAAGATGTGGCTTCATTTGTCTTGTGCTTTGGGCTCAAAAGTGTGATCCAGTCTTCTCGAAATCATCTGTGCATGTGATGGAGGAATGCACAGTGCCTGTAGGGGGTGTAGTCTCAATAGCCATGCAGTAAGCAGTGTGCTTTGGCATGGATATTCAAGTGTACTTGAATGGCATCTGTTTGTTTTAGTCAAGATTATGCTAAAATATACTTTCCCCAACTATATTTAAGTTCCCTATGAAGAGCCAACCTTATATTTTGAAAATTCCCAGTTTATTCCCATAAATTCCCGTTAATTCCCATGGAAAGTTTCCATCTTTTAAAATTCCCAGAATTTTGCAACCCTAATCCTCATCATGTTTTCTTTATTCAGAATGGAGAGCTGCAGGTTGTCAGAGATCAGCTGTTCTGCTCTGATCTCAGCTCTGAAGTCCAACCCCTCCCATCTGAGAGATCTGGACCTGAGTCTCAACGATCTGAAGGATTCAGGAGTGAAGCTGCTGAGAGATCTTCTGGAGAGTCCAGACTGCAGACTGGAGACTCTCAGGTCAGTTCACTGACTCTCTGTTACTGCTGGAGATCTCATGTTTCATTAGTTATTCAACCTGATTCTTCTACATAAATATATTACATCCATGATGTTGTAAATGTTGTTTTATTCATACTTTCATTTTTAGGTACTAAATTCAGAACTTCAGACTTAAATGTTGTCTGATTCTTAAAGGAACTGTAATATATGTTAGTTGTAAAAAGTAAATCTATGTTTTTAATATTTAGTAAACAATAACATCTGAATAAAGGTCATGTGAAGTAATATTAGTTTTACATTAATAAACTTTACTTTCTGAAGAAGACATTTTTGTTGTTGTTCCCATTCATTTAAATGTTGAGTAACATCTGACTGGATTATAAATGTTTTTTTATCCTCATCATGTTTTCTTTATTCAGAATGTGGCGCTGCAGTTTGTCAGAGATCAGCTGTTCTGCTCTGGCCTCAGCTCTGAAGTCCAACCCCTCCCATCTGAGAGATCTGGACCTGAGTGAGAACAAGCTGCAGGATTCAGGAGTGGAGCTGCTGAGTTCTGGACTAAATAGTCCAAACTGCAGACTGGAGGCTCTCAGGTCAGTTCACTGAATGCAGTTCATATAGATCTGTTTGTAATTTTCTGAATTTGCCAGAGAAAAAATACATTGTTATTATCGTTTTTCACCTTTTGCTAATGACTGAGTATTTAGCGGAATAATGAAAATCAGAGAAGGTCAATGTGTGACGGGAGACTGGCATTGTGCTCGGTGAAGATGCTTTCAGTACTGATGAACTGTGTGAGCGAAATTAGTTGTTAAAGATCTGATGACAGAGAAAAACTGCTGCAGAGAGTTCCAGATTATCAATGGATTGTTTCTTCATTATCGCTGAAATTAAGACAGAGTTTAAAAGATTATTATACCTTGAATTATTTCAAACAGGAACATTGTTTTTTAAAGTTGCATCATGTTTTCTTTATTCAGTCTGAGGAGCTGCAGTTTGTCAGAGATCAGCTGTTCTGCTCTGATCTCAGCTCTGAAGTCCAACCCCTCCCATCTGAGAGATCTGGACCTGAGTTACAACAATCTGAAGGATTCAGGAGTGAAGCTGCTGAGAGATCTTCTGGAGAGTCCAGACTGCAGACTGGAGACTCTCAGGTCAGTAAGGGGTCTCTGCTGGTTCAGCAGTATTGTATTAAACACAGGGAGGTGTTTCTCTCACTGGGGAATCACAACAGATCAGTGATGTTACCCACTGATTGCAGGCTCTTTCATTCTTCCATCAACTATAGAAGCCCAGCTGAAAATGCAAAGCCACACTTTAGTAATCAACTCTCTAACAGACATATGGGATTTTAGAGATGAGTGGGAAAGGTAGTCTGTTTTTTATGGGATGTTTTTAGTTTCTAATGACTGGTTACTTCCTGTAATGCAGCTGAGAGCTGTGGCAGTCAGTCGTAGTGTTTGCAGAGAAGATATGATGGGATGTAAAGCATGAGATCAGGACTCTGAAGCTGACTCAAAGAACAAACACTTATTTTAAACTGGATCTCAAACTGTTGGATTGTGTTCATCCCTACAGGATCAGAGATGAGCCCTTCAGAGCCACGATCCAGAAGACCTGTGAGTACTGAAACCATATCCTCCATTCATCAGTCGGGAGGCTCTGTTGTATGAACAGACGCCTCTCGCTATTTTGCTCCTTGACTATAGACAAATCTGTTAACAGTGGTTAACTCGTGTGGTCCTTATTTAGTTAGTGTTGTTGTGATTATTGGTGTCTAGATTAGCTTAGCATTATGTTGACTGTTGTTCTCTAGTATAGCTGTGTTTTCTTACCTTTTGTTAGTTTGTACCACTTTGATAGTGAGGGTTGTTTTGTTGCTATTTTGTTTATTAGTATCTATTTCTTTGTATTTAAGTAGGCTCCCTTATTAGAGTCCTCCCTTTGTTGGTTGCCCATTTAAACCAGTGCCCTTTTGGCCCTTTTGTTTGTTTCAGGCTGCGTGCCTTCCATTTTATAATTATTACCAATTCCAACTGGTGTATGTTGCTTTCCTCTTCCCCTAGTTGGGACGTAACAAGTACTCAGGTCTTGTATTTCAGTAAAAGTAGAAGTACTCAGATCTTGTACTTGAGTAAAAGTAGAAGTACCAGAGTGTAGGAATACTCTGTTACAGTAAAAGTCCTGCATTCAAAATGTTCCTCAAGTAAAAGTAGAAAAGTATTATCATCAAAATATAGTGAAAGTAGCGACAGTAAAAGTAGTCATTGTGCAGATTGGTCCATTTCAGAATAATATATATGAGCCGGGTTCTTTTGGGACAGCGCAGCGTAGAGGAAACACTGAGTATTGATCAGACAGTATTGATCCAGTTGAACAAATACTCTCCTATCAGTTGAAAAAGCCCGTCTACTATCTACAGGTTTTATAACCAACGTTTTTCCCTGTTTCTCTTCCAGGTCCCAGAGGGTTACCTGTTGACCCGTGTCCATCTCAACAAGGGTCCACAGACATCCTATAATCCTGAGTTTGGTGGGATGACGTTCTCCCTGTAATCAAAGCACTGGTTCTCTTGGAGACGCTCTCAAAGTCTTTGAGGACAAAGTCAGAAAGAGAAGAAGAAATGTGTTCCGCTCTTGGACTTGTTTGTGTTTCTCACCCCGGGTTAATTAATGTCCAATCAAATGTTAGAGACAGTATTTTGAATTATAAAAATGGCCACCTTATCGTGTAGTCAAGTCCGTATAAAGGACTACAATTCCCACAGTGCCTCCTCTAAAGAGACAGAGATGGGCAACCTGTCGGAAAGACGCAGTCGAAGCACCGTTTTTAACCGTTTGTTGCCGTTTTTTTACCGTTAAAATGACAAAAGCCTAAAAAGAAAGAAAGACCACCGAAGTTGTTTATTATTTTATTTGAGTTTTTCCTCTTTAGTTTTTGTTTTGACTTTTGTAAAAGCCTGTTTATATAAATATATGTGTGTATATGTCTGCATCTGTAGCCTGATATTGTCTCATTATACCGCACTGTGAATGAATCAAAGTAAATATATAAGTGGTCATGAACACATCTGTTCATCAGACAGAGGGCTGCTGTGCCTCCTGTCATCATTAATGGACGTCTCTTTAAAATGACCGCTCAGAGGAGAGGAGTTCTCATTTCTCTAACCGCCTGCTGCTTCCCCTCCTCTCTCCTCGGTTCCCCTCCTCGGCTCCTCCGCTCGCATCTCCTGTGGGCGGGACTAAGACACGAGGATAGGAGTCGAGGATAGGAGTCGAGGAGGGGAAATTAGAGAATTGAGAAGCCTTCCTTATCTCTATCAGTCAACAGTAAATAGAAACATCTCACCTCCTCCTTTTCCCGGCCAATCAGAGGGCAGAGCCGCACAGTGACAGGTCACGTTCTGACCAACGGGAGAGAGTCAAAACAGGGAAGCCCCGCCCCTTATAGTGGGGATTCTCGTGGGGGAGGAGTCAGACTCTTAAAGAGACAGCGACCTGATTCACAGATTCTCAAGAATTTGTTTACAATATTTACTGCCTTTTACTCTCAATTCTCACTTTTTATTCTAGTTTGAATTAAATATGTATAAATCTATTTTATACTAAAGCGAGAGATTAAAGAGATTTGCATTTCATAAATTATCTAAAGTTAGTTATTATCTCATGGCTTAGTTGAATACTCAATTCTGATTCTGATCCAGAACAGACAGACCGCTGTCAAGGACTTAATGACCGTTGTTAAGGACGCTCACATCTGCAGAAAGAAGTCTGTTCGATTGAACTGTATACAGTTTGGCCGAAAAGCAAAGTGCATGCAGTTTGCTTTTCGAACTGACAAGACAAGAGCGACAAGAAAACAGCGGAGAAGTAACGGGGCAGAAACCCTCCTTTTTACGCAGCGGTCCAGACATAGACATCAAACGGCGACACATATTCAGTGTGCAGTTCCTTTGGCATTAGGGCAGGGATATCTAGATACTTCCCAAGGTTTGACATCATGAATTGTGCTACTTTTAAAGCAAGCAACGATGTTTTCAAATCTGTAATCAAAAAGCTCCGCCTTCCTGCCGTTGCTACGTTTTTCAAACTGTAACAACGGACTATTTTTCTTAGCGGATGCATGTCAATTTAAATCAATACAACTATTTTTTAAATCAATAAAATCATTTTCTAAATCCATAAAAGCATTTCAATGAATATTGGGAGTCATATCGTTACTTTGTTGAGAATGTGGCCATGTAATAAGCGGGACAATGTGCAGCGACTTGGTCATTATGGGGAAAATAACACCCGACAGGCTGATCAGGAGCCCGACGCGACACGTAATGTCAGTACTTTTCAAACTGATTTTAGTGACTCTGAACCTCATTTTGGTAGCTTTAGAGAACTGAAGGTTGTTAATAGCAGTTATGCTTAGGGTACTTCAATTCTGCAACCAAGGACTTTCTTTTCGTTCCTGCTCAAAGTTTGTCCGGTCACAATGGAAAATATAAAGGGATTTCTTTCCTTGCTTGATTTTGCGCATTGCCGTGGTCATTGGTTGTAGTTCTCCTTCAATGACTTGAAGCATGCACTTGGTAGCTTTGTCATGGATGTTATAATGATGACCGTACAAAAGATCAGTTGCCATGGTTCAGGGACGCGCTTATCCGAAAGTGTTTCCAAGGGCCTATTGGTGGCATCCTCGTTCATGAGTTGATTGATGCTTGCCTCCTTTGGTGAATAAGGGCCGGCTGTTATTGAAAATGCTCCCCGTCGGGGAATCGAACCCCGGTCTTCTGCGAACCAGTCCCATTCATTCTCTATGGCACTGTTGAACCAGAGCCAATGTCATATATATTTGGCCGCTGCCGCGAGTGGCGCTGTGGCGCACTTTTGCCAGTGAGACACTAGCCTCATCCCAATACCCCTCCTCGACTCCTCTCTTCCCCTCCTCCGGGACTTGACCCGGAAATCGATCAAGACACGCCATTTTGAAGGACGTCCCAATAGCTGAAATGCACACGGAGGAGTCGAGGAGGGGTGAGGGAGGAGGGGTGCAGGAGGAGACGAAAGGGAGGATACACGAGAGCAGACTACGCGGAAGTGTTTTCACTACTCGTGTATAAAAGCCCCGCCCCCACCTTCACAGCTGGTCGATTTCAAGAGAGGAAAACGGAGAACTGGAAGAATGAGTGGAAAAGCGTCACATAAATGTATAAGTGCTCACAGCTCCGTGGGAATTATTATGTGCAATTCATTTCTTAAGGTTATACTAACAATTTAAGTCATGTTTAATGATCTTGAACGTCACTAAAACATAGCTATTAAGAAAGCTATTTCATAAATGGCTAGATCTTGATAAATACAAATTATTTGTTTTGTTTTGTGTTAAGATATTCAGGAGTTAAATTATTTAAAATTCACAGTCCTGAATGTGGGTTTGTGGTGAATGTGGGGATCTACAGGACACACATGTTCAGAGTAAAGGCTTTCACATTATTATAATTATATTGAAATGTACATTTTACACCAAAACGGAACACAAAAGCAGGACCAACCATCATACATTGAATTCCTTGACTAAAAAGAGAAAGATTCATCATTTAAAAACATATTTAACAATAAATGGGCCGGTTCTAAAGGGTTATTCAGTTAAACCCAATGAGAGGGGATACAGCTGTGCACATGTCATCATTAACAGACGTCGTTTAAGAGTGACGTTTGAGTGAACGAGGACATCCCAATTAATACCTGAGGACTATGAGGTGTGATTTGTGCCAAAGAGCAGATAACTAAGCTCACTGAGCGGATAACTAACGTGTCAACGTGCGCCAACGCCTCCATCAATTTTGAATGGGTTGACGTACGATACAGGCGACGTCACGACGTTGTCAGACGTCAGACGTCACGGCGACGTATCATAGGTGCGCTCAAAGTACGCGCTCACGTGGCGGCGGCGTAGCTTTGAAAGTGCTATCTTAGATACGCGTGTTGATAACGTACGTGTACATAAGCGTGTACATAAGCGTGTGAATGACGTGCGTGTGGATAAGCGCGTGAATAACGTACGTCTCGCCTCCGTTAGCATTGTATAGCATTATCCTATATTATATTTTTCGAATGATTCCGCTCCTACAGTAGTTTGGAGAGTGTTACAGGTACACTTTCTCATCGGCACAGTGTTGGTATCAGAAGAGAGGGGAATAATAATTAATAATCATTAGTATGAGAATATTTGCTGGTGTTGTTCTCGAGACCGGTCTCCAGACCACTTTTTAACGGTATTGGTCTCGGAATCGACTGCATTTGGTTTCGTATTGTCTCTGTATCGGACCTATAGGACTCGAGATTTTATGTCAAGACCGGTTAGGCTGTGGCTGGGGATGTGATGAGGGTCGGGAACCGAAATCCGGTTCCGATTTGGAACAAATAACAATTGTCCGGTACGGGGATTAATAAGAGTTGTGTCTAGCAGCTGTCTCTCTCTCTCTCTCTCTCTGCTCGGGAACAGCTGATCGCTGCACTGCGATCACCTGTCCCTCCCTCCCTCAAGGTGTGTGTGTCTGTGTGTCTGTGTCTGTGTGTCTCATTCACTGTCCCTCAGGTTGTAGCATGTTTCGATTGCCAGTTTGTGGCTTGTATGTCTTGTGAACGCAACGCTGGCATGATGTGATGTGGCCTGCTGACATGGCCTCTAATAAACACACAGGACTAAAATAATACGTGTTTAATTCAGCCCAGATGCGGTGACTGCAGGCCAAATCCATTAATGCGGCATATATTGAAGGTGTTCAAAGTTGCACCGGTATGAAGCGCAGTGAGAACCACGCACCTGTCAGACCAGACCTTTATATATACAATCTATGTGTCAGACTAGACCTTTATATATACAGTCTATGGTCAGACCAGACCTTTATATATACAGTCTATGGTCAGACCAGACCTTTATATATACAATCTATGTGTCAGACTAGCGAATGGGCACATTTAAATTTCAGGAGAATAATGAAGATGTGATTGGTTGTTCCACTCTCCGTTTCTCACGAGACCAGCGCGCTGCTGTTTACATTAGTGTGGACTGGACCGACTGAAACTGACGGCAAGGTTAATTATTGTGGAAGGATGGACCCCCATCCTGCAAAAAAAGGCAGTGAAATGTGCTAAAGTCACTGATTTATTCAGAACCCCCCGTAAGGTATAGAATGACGAAGCAGAAAGTAAGTGAGCGAACATTATGAGCCACATTTCTTTCTATATTGTAGCCTGATGTGCACATCGACTGTCAACAAAACAGTTTCTCAGTCCAATGCTAAGTTAGTATAGGCCCTGTGTGACTGGAGACTATAAGGCTACACAAAACCCAAACATGTCCTTAATGTTACTCAAGGCAAATATATGTAATATAACCGTTAGACTGCAGCTAACTGTGGGGCTACAAACCCCTCATACTGTGAGGGGATCACTTGAGATGGTTATGTTGTCTAAAGGGGAGACACTCATTATGGTTTTAGGCCATGCAAATACAGGGTCAACTAAGTGATAACATAAGTGTTGCATAATGTATGTTCTTGAATAATGTTATTTCATAAATAGTTGTTAATGTAATGATTACATGTTCTCCTTATTCAGTTCCACTATCAGATGATGCTGATGGTGATGACCCTGAGGGAGAGATGCAGAGCTCAAATCAAATCAAATCAAATCAGGTTTTATTTATAAAGCACATTTTAAAAGCGATTTTTGGTCGAGCCAAAGTGCTGTACATGTAATAAAAAACACATTACTACAAAACACAATAAACAACAATAAATTACAACAGATATATCTATAACAGATATAAAACACACGGAAAAGTCAGGAGTCGTGCTCCGCTCTAACTAGAAGGCCAGAGAGAAGAAGTGTGTTTTTAGTGTAGATTTAAAACCCCCTAGGGTCTGGGCCGACCTCACATGGAGGGGCAGAGTGTTCCAGAG